GTAGTACAGATATGCTGTACCATCCTAGGCAAATTAAATATGGAGTAACTCTTCCCACTATCTTGTCAGCTGCAACCAGTTTGAGCCACATCTCCTCTTGATGTGAAATTATGTCAAGATTGCATGCAGCCATTGGTGCTGGAGCCAGAATGTGACCTCGGTGCCAGTGGCACTATTGCCTCTTTGTGCAAAGAGTTTAAGTACTAATATGTTGCCTTATTATGTCCTTAAAGTGTTCGAGAAACAGTTTGTCTTGGGAAGGTGGCTCTTTTTTAATTTATCCTTTAAAAGAATAAAATCAAGACGTCTCCTAGAAATCAATTTCAATTTATGATTAGGATAGATGTAGTTTTCTTTAGAGTAGGAAATTTTCTGCTACGGGATGCAACTTACCTGTACTGTACGGAATATTCAGTTTCCCCAAGTGAAGTTAATAAGCGTGTTTCATAGTTTTTGTAGGAGGATATCCAAGTCCAAAGTAGGCTTAGAAGGTAAATCCACAGTATTTTAAGCATTTCTCATACGAAGACTGGAACCCACAGCTGCTTTTTCCTCTGATTTCAATTTATGCAAGCCCATCACTAATGACACAGGAGAAGCACAGAAATAGTGTTGGGGTAGATATCTTTGTGCTCAAAACCTCTTGTTTAGATTTTCATCAAAACATGTCTTCAGTATTTAATTTTTTCACATCTTTGTTCTTTTTTTCCAGATTTTTCAATAGCCTTAGTATTCTAATCTTACTGTAGCAGCTGTATTTATCATGTGAAAGAAATAAAATGTAGTCATGAAATGGTTTGTCGTTCCAAGGGATGCAGCAGAGACAATAGTTATCTTTTCCTCCCTCCTAACATGCTGTGTTTGTTTTGTTTTTCTCAATCTGTAATGATGACCTGTTCTTTGGATTAGGAACCAACTACGTTTATTGTGGCTTAAGGGTTGTGCCACACTTGGTGCTGTTCTCCCTTATTTCATAACTAATGAAGCTTAACACCTGGGTCTCTACAGCATTACTACCACTTCAGTAATTTTTGTCACCATCATAACAGGAACATACTGTTATGCTGCTCCATTCCCCAGCATCCTCCTTCTGCCTTCCCTATTTCTGCTGTCTAATTCTATTTCTCACTTCCCATGATGCTGTGTATAACACTCCTGCCTGCTTCTCTCATTGTCCAGTTTTGGTGGATGTGCTTTTCAGTTAGTATGGTCAACTGGTTATTAGGATTACTATTTGGCCTCTACTTGGCATACTCTTATCAGGCAACAGGCTTTGGATCTACTCTCTGAAAATATATTTGAAATTGTGTTCCCTTTGTACGTTTATTTCTTTTTAGCAGACTGCAGTAGAAGCAGTTTTAGCAACAGAGAAGCAGATTTGTTTGTATTCTGGAATATGTCTTCATGTTCTGCAGGTCCTGTGTTGGCTACTGAGTTCAGTAATTGTTGGTGCAGACATTATTCTTATCTGTTCTTGTTGCCTGGCTGTCTGCCTTACTATTTGGTCTCTTGCTTTTTGATTTGCTTAGCGATAGTTGGAATATGCACGAGAAGAAGTCACCAGCACAGCCAATAGAAAGATGTGTTCTTGAGTCCTTGAAGTGGTTAATGTAAGGAAAGATAGCTGTACAGTTGAATACACTTCTGCTTATCTCTCAGTCAAGACTTTTCCCAGCAAACAGGATATTTGCTTGGTGTCACTGTACAATGCAGTGTGTATACACTCAGCACTGGCTGCAGACAGTATTGCTCCACTAGCTTTACTTCTTGAGGAATTTGAGAATTTCATTTAAGAATGAAGATACCAAGTACTTCTGTCTTTTTTAATTCTCACTTCAGCAGGCTGACAACAACCTGGTGGTATACGTTGGTTTCTCAGATGCTTGAATGTATGCTCAGATGCTTACTGTGAATGTACCGTTCTTATGTTCTGATATTCTAAGAAGAAATAACAGAGCCTTATACATTCACATATTGCCCTGCGTAGGTCTTAAATGTACAGTGAAGGATATGTGGGAAAACTTGGTATGAAGATATCTCTGCTTAACAAAAGCCACCCATTTCACAGATGATTTAACTTTGATCAACCTATTCTGCAGCAACAGATTACTCAGACAACTGGAACTTCACTCTGTCGCGTTATCGCTGGGTGCAGCCTAATATACAGCACTGCTTTTCTTTCCACCTTGCCAAAATACCTTACAATTTTGATGTAAACTCAAAGTCAAAATCCTGTGGTTCGTTAAACCTGCTTTCAGTGTTCATTGACAAGAAATTTGTCCTTGTGGAAGTGGCAGCCTGTGAAGCGTTCTTTCCTGCTCGCTTGATAATGTAGGATTCCCAGCTTCCTGTCAGAAAAAAA